ATTTGAAAAGATGATGAAATGAAACAGGCTTTTTATCTGAAAAAGTGTTTACATTTACACATTTCATGCATTGCATCGCATCTCATCATGTTACACCTCTTCTCCGCTTTTTCATTCCTGTCTCGTACTCTCTGTACTCTGTACACTGCACACACTGTAGTCTGCTTTATACTTGCTGTATACTGTACACACGGCACACACATACATTCTGCTTTACACTGACTGTACACTGCTCACACTGTACACTGTACACAATACACTGCACAACACACGGCTCTGCTATTTCTGCTTTATTCTGCATATTCTGCTTTTTCTGATAGTCACACTGACATCTGTTTTGCAGCTGTGGGTTTACGCCTACTTCCCTAGGCTTGCACCCATACCAGTCACGGAGCCTCCTCCGGCTGTCCCGTTCTCGAGTCGCTTCGACTGGAGATGCACCCGGCGACCACGGGAGACATTGGGCTTCTTCCGTCCATATTTTGACACCATCACCCCGGCCGAGGTATGTTTTATTTTCAGTTTATTTAGCTTTGCTTTCCCACTGCAAATTTCAATAACAGTAGATAACAAACTGTCTGTCACTTTCAGATCATTTAGCGGCCATGGGCTTCCTTGCCGTCGGCGATGCGGGGTCGGTTCCTTGGTGCTAAGGAGACCTCGCGTTTCCGGATCTTGCTAGAGGGCCCGGTCTGTCGGGTTTGGTACCTGGGGGAGCGTTTTCTACGCCAGACCCGCGGGTTACCTAGGCAGATAGTCCCGGCTCACCCTCCTGCAGAGATGAGGGAGACCGAGGGGCTGACCACTGAGCAGCTGGATGATTACTCCATCGGCTGGTATTTTAATTTAAAATTATTTTACAAATTATTGATATAATATACATAATTTCTAAAAGTCGTATCCCGTCCCCTCTGATTCCATCCTTGACAATAGCATGGTTCACGCATAATAAAAAAGTAATTCTCATTGTGATAGGGCCCGGGTCCGTGGTAGGGGTGGAGTGCAGGGAGGACGGGGAGTTGGCTGGCCTGCCCTGCCCGCTGTACTGACTTTCCAGGGGTAGGGTGGGTCAACCTATCAGATCCCCTTCGCCCCTCCGCCAGCTGGCCATGAGTTCATTGACGTCCCCGACTTACCGCCGGTATGTTCTACTGCATTTTGTACAGTTATTCAATTCAGATTACTTGATATTCCACAGAATATTGATGCGTCTGATATTTTGCAGGCCTCTTCTGAGTACACCCGTCAGTCGTTGGCGATGAATGCCTCGATGATGGGGATGCTCCAGCGGACATTTGACCTCTTGGCCGTCTACAGCATACCGGTATGTCCTTCTGACACTGGCCTCAAACCATTCATACACTGCTTTGCATAATCTGATGCACGGCACAACACCTGACATACTGATCTCGCAGCATCTGATACCCTGCATACACTGCATTCTGCACTGTACTCTGTACTGATAAACTGCTCATGGCATTCCTACACTGTACTCATATACTGCATTCTGCACTGATAAACTGCCCACGGCATTCATACACTGTATTCTGCATTACATTCTGCACTGATAAACTGCTCACGGCATTCATACACTGTACTCGACATTGCATTCCGCACTGATAAACTGTCTACAGTATACTGATGCATTTCACTTTTGTGTACTTTTTCAGCCTTCTTTCCAGATTCCCATGGCGGGAGGTGCTTCAGCGAGACCTTCTGTCCCTGCCCGGGGGAGAGATGAGGAGGGCCGGATATTTCCCCGTACCAGGGGAGGGCGTACCCATGTCGGGAGTAGCTCGCAAGCTCCAGTCCCGGACGATGATGATGACGAGGAGTCAGAGGCGGAGGCAGAGGCGGAGTCCGAGTCATCGGAGGAGGAGTCCGGAGGCGGTTCTAGCTCGGGCTCTGACGACGACGCTG